TTCTTCTTCTTCTTCTTCTTCTTCTTCTTCTTCTTCTTCTTCTTCTTCTTTTTGTTCTAAGGAATTGTATTCTGCACAAAGGAGCCTGCGGCTGCATTTCAGTCGCATTGATTCAGTCTTCTGGATGTGGGCCAGATTGGCTACCATTTAAATCAATCTTTCTCCTGAGCTAAGCAGGGGCACCTCAGTTGCCTACCGAAAGGGACGATGAGGGATTTTGGGAGGCACCAGTAGTTCAAAGTAAGGCAAATCTTTGTACTTCTCCAGCCCCACAGCCACGTAATATTCGCCATTCACAAGCTCCTCCCCCCGGGAGACGAGGTCGCCGTTCAGCTTGCAGAGCCTGGCAGGAAAAGCATAGCAGAAACAAGTTCATGAGAAGTGGGAAGAAGCTGAGGAAGGCTGGCTGGGGAATTCTGGGAGTTGAAGTCCACCCAACTTAAAGCTGTCAAAGTTGAGAAGCAGTCTTAAAGAAAGCTTATTTGAAGTACATGGGACCAGCTTCCATGAAAATATGTACAAGCTTGCAGACAAATTTCTCTATTTCCCGTAATATGAAGCACAATGGTTATCAGCTTTTAGGCCCTACGTGCACTTTGCAGCATAATTGTACGTACATGTTACATACAAAAGGATTGTATGCAAATATACCCTTAACCTGAGTATTGAATTTACCCATTGCTGAATTGGGGCACTATATTAAGTTGTATCCTAGGTTCCACAAACCAACCAAGATGAACGCTAGGCAAGTTCATCACATGGACAAAGGCACCTACTGGGCTTTATCAAACCAGGTAAGCTTCTGTGTAAACATAGCCAGAGAAGGCTATGACATCTTCTACAGGTTTCCTCCTGTTTAAAGACTGAAGAGGAAACCAAGAAAGCTTTGGGTCAGAAAAACCCATTCGTAAAGTAAATCCAATGACCCCTCTGCTCAGTGGTGAGATTCAGTCAGTTCGCACCGGTTCAGGAGAACCAGTAGCTAACTTTCTGAGCAGTTTGGCGAACTGGCTGTCGAGAGAAATCTCCTTCCAACAGCCCTTTGTTTTTCCCACCTTATGGGGTTGATCCTGTCAGGAAGGTAATGTTCTGGTGTGCCTCTGTGTTTCTAGCCTAATCCTGTTTATCTTTATTGCTCTGTTGAAGTGTTTTCAGAAACTGGCTCTGCAGTTAAGCCTTGTGACATTGTAACAGCCATTAGTGCTTCTTGGCAGTACACCAGACTTTCTATAGCCTGAGCGGCTGGCTTCTCTGGAGTTTTTTCCTCTGCTGGTACTTTTATTCCGGAACTTGACATTCTTAAAGGGGAAGGGTTGTTTTAAGCTGTTTACACTGCTTTAGTGGTTCCTGGCATTGTCCTTTTGGGGTGTACTTCCAACACCACTGAACCCCCTCCCGGCCACTCCTTGCTTCCTCCATCTCCAATTAAGAGTGTGAGGGGGCAATCGCGAGCCTCTTTCTTCCCTGGATCAATAATCTCTACATGGAGCAATCTGGCTAGTCTTTGCCTTCTTTGTTACCAAAAAAGGGCTCTTCCCCACTCAGTAAAGCCAGGGTAAAATATATATATGAATAAAGCTTTTTGGCATAGAAAGCACAGAGTTGTGAAGCAACCTCCCTGGGCGCAGAATGACCCCAAATGATACTCAGCTGGTGTTGATGCCCCCACCTCACCCCAGGAAGACAAGGTCCCTCCGCTTCTCTGGAAGCAGGACTCAGTGCCAGGACCCCAGTGTACAGAGACCCCCAGGAGGCAGCCCCCTCCAGACCTTAAGCCAGAGAATTTGGAGGGCTGAACTAGCCTAGTTCTGAAGCAGCAAGGGGGCGGCAGAGCCTTTGATTTCCCTCCCTCCCCCCAAGAAATAGACAAGGATGGTAAAACAACATGGAGAGCACTTACTTTTTCACCACTCCAGTGTGCAAATTTGCCTTTTCTGACAAGCGGCTGAGGACGATGCCCCATTCCTGCAAGGCGCTCCTGGCCAGGACCATTCGAAAGGGGGGGCTCAGCAGGTCTCCGTTGCGGAAAACGCTGGAATAGCAGAAGCAGGAATCCCGTCTTCCTTCCCTGCGGAGCTTTCTAAGGGAAGACTCCCAGCTATTCCTATTTCCCTCTCATTCACCTGTGGGGGGATCTGGATTTCATCCAATTGTATGAATGGAGCACAGGTGAACGTCTGGACTCCACCACAAGCAGAGAGTATCTCAAGTCTTCTGTGAGTCTTAATTTATTTGTATTTATACTTCAGATTCTGGCAGAACTTTACCCGGGGGAGGGGACAAGGGTTTGGTCCCTTTTTCATAACCCTGCCTGTGTTTTCCGATCACTTTGCCCTCTTTTTTCTTATCAGGAAAGGCTTTACTGGCAGTAAGGGCTGGATTAAGACTGGGAAGACCCTCTGAAGAGGACCTCCCCACTCAGCACTGCCCCTTCCAGGTCTGTGACAATTCTGTTCTTCTGCTACAGAGATGACGAATTGTGCCAATTCTGCCTTTAGTTATCTGTTTCTTTCTTTGTCAGATGTTTATCCTGCCTTTATTTTAAACGGCAGCTAACATACCTAATATTCCTTCCTCCTACTCTTTCTCCCCACGACGACTCCATGATGTGGATCAGGCTGAGAGACAAGCCCAGAGTCACCTAGCCAGCTATGGCTAAGGCGAGAGTAGAATTCACCACCTTTGTTTCGTCTGCTACCTTAACCTCTGGACCAAAGTGGGTCTCCTTCCCTGAGCTGCCCCATTTCTTCCTTTCCTAACCCGAGAGGGAATTTCCAAGGAGAGTCACTCACTAGATGACACAAGGAAGGTTCGTTTGCCGCTTCCATCCTGCCGTAACCATCACCTTCTGAGGAACACCTGGATAATTCTGAATGCCAAAACATCATTATCATCAATAGCAGCAACAATAATCCATCATTATCTGCCCTTTGTAGCTTCTAGTCAGAGGTGGGATTCAGCTGGTTCTGACCAGTTCTAGAGAACCGGTAGCGGGAATTTCAAATAGTTCAAAGAACCGGCCAATCCCACCTCTGACTGGTCCTGCCAACCCCATCTCTTCTCTGCCTCCCATTGAGTCCCAGCTGATCGGCTGGGTCTTCTTTGGTTGCCCTGCACAGGAGAACGGAGCTGAAAAGCAGGTTAGTGGGGAGGGGGAGGGAAGGGCGGTTTTGCAGTAACCTTCCCCTGCCATGCCCACCAAGCCACGCCCACAGAACCGGCAGTAAAACATTTTGAATCCCACCACTGCTTCTAATGCTATGTTTCTTAACCTCAGCACCTTTAAGATACATGGACTTCAACTCCCAGAATTCCCCAGCCGGCTCCAAAGTCCAAGCCCAACATGCTCAAGGCCTTAGAGGACCCTGGCTTGCCTCTGCCTCCTTTGGCAGAATATCCTCTTTTAGGTTGCTTTTATTATATTGGTACATAATACAACACTTTGACAATAGGCAGGCGACTTCTAGATCCAAAGCCTCTCCCGATAGTCGAGCCTTTTGTATTTGCAAGTATTCCTTTGCAGAGCCCCCAGAAGGGTTTAGGGCAGGGGTCGGCAGCCCACAGCTCTGGAGCCACATGTGGCTTTAGTGCACCCCTGCTTTAGTGTCTGTTGAAAGTTATAACAGCACTGAAAAAAGTGCCTTACGACGGGTACTTAAACTTGCAACTACCACAGCATCCCCTTGGTCATGCGATCCAACATTCGGGCGCTTAGCAGCTGGCATGTGATTACCATGGTTGCAGCATCCCAGACTCACACGGTGGCCATTTAGACCTTCACAGCCAGCTTCCGACAAGCAAACTCTGTGTATGGGGGGGGGGGGGGGGGGGGGGGGGGAGAGCTGGATTTAATGACCATGTGATTCACTTAATGACTGCAATGATTTGCTTAACAACTGCAGAAAAAACATCATAGAAGTGGATGTGATACTTAACAAGCACCTTGTGTAGCAATAGAAATCCTGATCCCAGTTGTGGTTGTAAGCCGAAGCCAGCTTGTAATTGTCGAATGGCCGGTACTGCATAAAATCTGCTCATCCTGGGACTTTCCTAAAGCAGAACTAGACTGTTCCGTTCTGAAACCAGCTTTGGCCCACCTGTGGCCAATTACTCACCTGGGCTCCATTTTTTTTCTGGTGCTTGTTCAGCTGTTTCATTCCAACATTTGCATAGCTGTCAAAAATGATTTGGGAAGAACATGAGCCACTGAGGTTTTGAGTTCAAGACTCAGTTCAGAGCAGACTCACCTACTACTACATCCAACCATTCCTTCCATGAATGCTGCAGACAAATTGCATAAGCCCTGGTGGCTGCATCTCTGGACGTGGCCAAAGAGTGAGGCAAAGTAACTCTTGAGGGGTGTTTTCCAGTCAAACAACCAGCATATCCTTTGCCGTAGACATGGATTAGATTACAACTCCCATCACCTCCAATGTCATTAGATATGCTCCAGATGGGGTTCAACTCCCAGAATTTCCCAGCCAGCCATGCTGGGAGTTGAAGTCCACATACTACAAGCTGCCAAGATTGGGAAACAATGAGCTGGATCAACCAGAGAAGACAAACAATACTGTCCCTTCAACACATCTTTAATTCAAAGAAGAGTTTGAATTTATCTTTAATTCACACACACTCCAATAAAACTTGTGGGATGGACACCTTCTCTAGAGGGAAGATGAGCTGCACGTGTGATGCATTCTTGAAGTAAAAAAGCAGAGTTCCACCACCCCAAACCCCCAACTCTTACGATTTAAATGATGTTTCTGGCAGCTCAAACAATTGGCCAGCCGAAGGCAACCAACCCCAAAATTCTGTGCAGTAAGACAGCAACTAATCCCAAACTATAGCTAAGAGATGGCTGTGAGGCCGACATTCCTTAGCTTTCACCAATTAGGCACCTGCTGCAGGAGTTGGTCCCTGTAGGCTGGCAAGCTCAAAAATGGCCCCACAATGGCTGGTTGGAGAAAGATGTCCAAGGGGTAGAAGTTCAAACTTTGCTCATTTTTTGGAAACAAAGCCAGGGGCTTCTGGTGCAACCGGTGAAAAGACTCAAGGCAGTTCTCTGTGCCTTGGGACCGAGGAACGAAATGAGATTTAAGGGGAGATGTCCTCAAGTCCAATGCCAGAAAACCCCACAAAAATAGAAACTTTCTACTACAGCTTTTTCCAACCTGGTTTCCAGATGTACAATATTAGGGCTATGAATTCTCTAAACTCCAAATTCTGGACTTGAAGGATTCCACCACGGGGAGGCCTTCTCTTCACTATTCCAGGCGCTCTACAGAGCTGTGACTCTCTCCTTTGAACAAAGGCCACTTAAATCTTGTGCTAGAGAAGCTGCCACGTATCTACGCAATCTACATACTGCCTTGCGTGCTGGGTGCCAAGAGCGGCCCTCTTGATACTCCCTCAAGGACAAGGGCTGCTTGAAGACTGACATCAGGAGTTTGGTGTTGTCATAATTCAAGGGTCCTGGGTCCTCCCTTGGAGTCTAGAACAGACAGACAGCTCTAGAGAACAGCCCAGCGCTTCAAGAGCCTGCTCAGGCTGCCTGTTCTGCTTTGACTCGGGTCTCTCTCATTGGTCCTTGGCTGCAAGGGGGAAGTAAATTACTAAGAAGGGGCTTTGGTTCCCCTGCCGGTGCCAGATTGGCACTTGGCTTGGCTTGGCTTCCCCTGGAACTCTGGGCCTTGGGAGGGCCTCTCCTTGCCCCACCCGCCAGGCTCACACTCTGTCACAGCCTGCGCGGAATCTACTCCATCTTTCCCTTGGACCTTCATGACAGTGAATGGGTCCTCTTCCCTCCCGCTCCCCTGCTCCCTTCTGGCCCCCAGCAGTCCTTGAGGAAGGCGCCTCTGGCTTGGAGTGGCAAGCCCCTCCCTCCTCCCCCACCCCCCAGTTCTGGAGGCGGAGGAACAGCGTGTGTTCCTCCTCCTCCTCCTCCGGTGCTGCCACTGCAGAGGCTCTCATTCTACCTCATTCTGCCATGGCTGCAAGGGCGCCCAGAACAATTGTCCACCTCGGCTGCTCTTGGGTATTAACCCTGCCGTTTCATTCGGCACTATTATCAGGTTTGAAATTCATCAGCTCATTATAGTGCTTTTACATAATCATCATTACCACATTTAGGGTATTCTGTAATCTAGTACATTTTCATTTCCCCCCTAAAATCTTTTTAATGGCCTCTATTTTAGATTCTCATCTCGCCCTTGATGTCTGGTATATATACACTTTTAAGTTTTTATGATTGTAGTAAAAAGGGACGGGGTTAGGTTGCTTACTCAAGCCTTTTGAACCGCTCAAAACCCGCAGCGACGTATTGGCACCCGTTCTGCAGCTCGCTCAGCTCCATGATGCGATGACCCCCTCGAGGCGTGTAGATGCTCCTAATGGCCACGGGGGCTTGGACGGTGCTGGTCACTTCATTCAAAAAGGCATCAAAAGTCAGGAACCGGCGGTGGCTCACAACAAATTTCCGGCCAAGGAAAAAGGGATCCCCGTTGCGAAAGACCACCACATTCTTGGCAAGGGGTGCCACTGCCACAGTGCCTGAGACCATCTCTCCCGGGCTGCAGACCGCAGGCGGCTCGTCTGAGAAAGCTCCCTGGCAGAGGGGCACCTTGGGGGCTTCTGCAGCCAAATGGCACCACTCTTCTGAGTGTGCCAGGCTGCCTTCTGAGAGGAGAACTATGCTGTTTCCATAGTGTCGGTTCAACAAGAGAGAGGGCGTGCCCTCCGCTTGGTGAAAGACTTGGGTGTGTCTGTGGCAGAAAGTTCTCTTTTGTGGAGCTATGAGTAGCCTCTTTCTAGAATGACAGCGGGACCCCCTTCAGCCCTGGAAGCAGAGGTGCCAGCTCCGCTGTCCATGAGATCAGAGGTGGTGCTGTAATGGTGGGACTACAAAGACAATAACACGCTCCTCTCTACTCTTCTGCCTCTGCTCGATCTAGTGCAGATGGCTGGGGAGTAAGCCAGGGCTGCCCCAGTCTGGGGAGAGTTCTTGGGCGAAAAACATAATAAACTCCACAACGTGAAGTGCTTTCCCCAGTCAGTGAGCTTTTCACATCCCACCCAGGCGTAACGGGCGGCCTCGTGCTGCCACCAGGGTGGAAATGCAAGTGCTACAAAATGACTCTGAGGTGAACAGCTCATGTAAAATGCCAATCTGTTTTGCAGATACTGTGAACGCACAAGTGGACTTGGAAGGAAATAAAAACCACCAGTATTAATAAAGCAACAGTGGCCTGTGTTTAGGGCTCCTCTCTGTTCTTGGCCCTCACCGTTCCACATATTCATTGCAGATCCTGCAACTTCCCAAAAGCCCTTAAAAAACTAAAAGATGATGAGACTGACCAGTCCTGCCAGAGAAGTTATTACTCCTGCTGCTAATTTCATTTGGGGAGCTTCTCTCTTTAAATGCTTTCTTTTGCTTTCTCTCCTTTAGTGTGCAAGCTTGCACAGAAGGGGGCATCTTTTGTTGAACTAATGTAACCCACCCTGGGGATCTTTGGCGAAAAATCACACTAGAGTATTGCTACTGCCTTGTTTAATTTGGGGCAACGTTTCTCAACCTCAGCATCTTTTAAGACATCTGAACTTCAACTCCCAGAATTTCCCACAGTAAAATTGCAACTTTCCAACAAGCTAAGTCAACAGGCGAAGCTGGATTTCCTCAACAACCACGTGATTCATTTAGGGACTGCAGTGATTTACTTACAAATGTGGCGGAAAGATCTTAAAATCAGGCATGACTCATTTAACAACCACTAAGCAACAGAGCTGATCCTAATTGTAATTGTAAGTTGAGAAATACCCATAATGTATCTGGCAGATTCAAACTGCCCAGCACAGTTGAAAAATGTGCGGTACTGCCTAATTTTAGAGTCACAGGCCAAAAATGGGGCATGGAGGAAAATGTTTTATTTAACTTCATAATAATTTAATAATAGAGGGCATCCAAATTTTTTAAAAAACAAGCCAGCAAAATAGTAAAACCAACCATGTAGTAAAGACTTTAAGAATAATCAGTCAGTAGCCACAAAAAGCAGAATACCGGAGTCAGCTACAATACGGGACCCTGGAATAATCTCCAGGAATTGAAAACTATCTGGTCAAAGCTGCTCTTATGTAACTGACAGGGGCGAAAGGCCACATGAGGCAGCAGCTTGCATGGCCCACTGATTACTAGCTACTGTAGCTTTGCAAATGCTGGTAAAACTGACGTTCCGTCATTGCTCCACCAAAAGAGCACAAAAAAAGCTTCTGCAACTGCAATTCCGAAAAGTCTGCCAGCCTTGAAAAGCGTTTGCAGTCTCCAGTTTTCACAGTTACTTTTGTAAGTCTCAGTGGTGACTTCCGACTGTGGCCTCTCTAAGGAGACATGGCGGATGCCTTGCCTGCAGCCCCTTGCTTCCTTTCTGGAAGTAGCAGGTCAAAGTGTGAGCTTCCAGTTCAGTGTGAAAAGATCACTTGTGAGATCTGCTGAGCTCTCGAGCTGGTTTCCCCAATCTCCGCTTCAGGATCAAATACTATGAGAGAAATACAAAACAAATGAAAGCAAACAAAATCTACATCAAAGGTTGCAGCTATCCTAATAAAGTGACACAAATTCACTATATTCCAAAGGAGACCATGAACCTTTATTCCCTTCATGGTTTCAACCCCTGTCCAATGCATCTACTAGTACAGTTCTGACTTTTAAAGATGCACGCTCTTCCACACCCCCAGGGATCCCGCTTTTGCCCAAGCCCGGGACAATGCCGAAATACCTCTCCTCCTCCCCCTGCCCTCTATCAGCTTATAGAAGAAGCGGTCATCACAAGAACTGGGCCAAACCAGCTGGCATTTGGGTTATGGCTGCTCCACAAGTCTAAAGTCCAACAAGCAACCCAAAGGCAGTGTCCTTACATTCTTACGGCTGGCAATTGCCTGCTGCAGCCAGAGCAGCTCCATGGCCAGGTGCTTGCGGTAGTTCTGCAGGTCAGGCATCCCTCTGGGCATTTCCGGTGCTTTGGGGAAAGGAGACTCTGGAGAAGCAAAGAACAAGGCGGTCAGAAACGAGATTGCCTCTCTCAAGCTGGGCAAGGCAACCATCTCACTTATATACATACACACACACACACGCCCAAGGCTGCTTCTGTAAAGTTGTTAGGAAGAAGATTGATGCTATCCAGGAACTTAGATGTACAGATGTAGTAACTGTCTGCTCAGTCTACCAAAGTCCAGGGTTCTTCCGGCACCTAACTTACCCTGACTCAACCTGGGAGACTCCATCCCCAGAACTGTGCTGCTCCAGTCAGATGAGGTGATGCTGGGTTCCCCGCCTTCCTCATTTTCTGCTGGCAGGCTGCAGACATTCCCTGAGTGAGCATCCAGAGCTTGCTGTCCTACCTCGCCGATCTTGGGTTCAGCCGTCACTTCAGGCAGTAGTCGGCTTGGAAACTGCATCTCAAAGTCACACATTTGTTTAGGCTGTGATGCCTCTTGAAAATATTGTGCATCCTGTTTTTGTGGCTTGTCAACTTTAACCTCTTCTCTGTTGAATTGCTTTATTGATTTCTTAGAAGACTGTAAATAAAATACAAAAATAAAATTCATCAATATAAAACAATAATGCAAAATAAAAAGATTACCCTTAAAAAGAGAATGATCATTATGTACAGAGCAAGATATTTTCTAGTTCAATGTGCAGCTCTGTGTTGCAGAGAGCATTGCACATCCTATTACACATCAAACAAAAAGCAAAATGTATATGGTAAACAAAGGCAGTATTCTATATACTGAATACTACCAGACTGTTTTGTTACAACAAACACATGAAGTTCATCTCTATGTGGAGGGAACATATTTGCACACAGAAGATAGAACTGCATTTATCAATTCCTAATTGGGGAGTAAAGAAAAACCAATAAAAATTCTTAACGATGTCATCAGAAAGAAGCAGGACCCCCTACTCCCCACATTCATAGTGTTCTAGCCAATTCCTGAACTTCCTCATGCCAGAGACAGAAGTCTGGTGCTTTTCTGCATCCAGTTTAATAGGACAATCCAGGCATCCCAGAAATACAGAAACCAAGTAGAAGCCTCCTAAAAATGCTGCATTTCACTGCTTCGGCTCAAACAGCAGAGATTTAGTCACTCATTCACTCAATTTATAGGGTCATCTGAGGACAAGATAATGAAAAGGTCGGTTTGGTTCATTTATTATGTTAGTCTAATGCAAAGTAATTCATAACTCAGCATGTTGTAGGCACCAACCATTGACTTAGCATGTTACCATCTTAAGCTACATTGTGTGTACAGTTATCAGGCAAGTTGTATTTTGGAGGATTAATTGTATTATTGAACAACTAGTGCTCTCGGTCAATCCAAAATGTTAATAAACTTCAGACCTGAATATTTAAGGAAGTAAAACTGAGGTTTTGCCTTTCTTATAAAAACATCTGTGCAATTATTATCATGCAACTAAATGAAAAATGAAAATTTGCCCATCTCACTCATTTATTTGCATGTGTTAAACTGAGAATAATAAACAATTCAAAAGGTACAAATAAACATTTCTGACATTTCAAAATAAAACTTGTGACCGATATAGCCACCCTTTTCAATAACAGTCATAAACCTTCCATTCATGGAGTCTATCAATTTCTTTATTTGTTGACGGTCAACCTTTAGTGCAACAGCAACCACAGCCTCCTAGACACTGTTCAGAGAGGTGGACTGTTTTCTTTCCCCATAAATCTCCCAATTGTGAGAGGTCCACAAGTTCTCAATACAGTTTAGGTCAGGTGAGGAAGAGGACCATGTCATTATTCTTTCATCTTTAAGACCTTGACAGGCTAGCCACAAAGTGGAGTACTTCAATGCATGCAACGGAGCATTGTTCTGCAGAAAAATCATGGTTTTTCTTGAAAGATGCAGATTTTTTCCTGAACCACTGCTTGAAGAAAGTGTCTTCTAAAAACTGGAAGTAGGTTTGGGAGTAGATTTTGAGTGCATCTTCAACCCGAAAAGGTCCAACTAGCTCATCTTTAATAACAACAGCCCATCTCAGTACCCCACTTCCACCTTACTGGCGTCTGAGTCGAAGTGGAGCTCTGTGGCCATTACTGATCCAGCCACAGGTCCATCTGTTTGGTCCATCAAGAGCCATTCTCATCCCATCAGTAGATAAAATCTTTGAAAAATCTATCTTCGGATATTTCTGGGCCCAGAAAGTTGCCGTTTCAACTTATGTGTCTTGTTCAGTGGCAGTCGGGTTTCAGTCTTCCTTACCCTGGCCATGGTTCTGAGCACTGAACACCTTGTACCTGAACACCTTCTGGGCACTCCAGGTAGATTGCAGTTCTGGAATATGACAGTCTATTAGACTGAAAAATAGTTATCTAGATCAGGGGTCCCCAACCTCTGGCCCATTACCAGGCCGTGGTGTATTTGCAACCAGGCCACGCTGGGCCAGCGCACAATTGAGCTGTGTGTGTATTTGCCTGCTTGCACAGTTCACTTCCCCTCTTCCCCTCCCCCACAGCCAGGCTGCCAAGCTGCAAAGTTTGGGATCTGTTGGTCTAGATGGTTTTCATGCTTAAGGTAAAATCAGAACTCACAGCCTTCTGGTTTCTAGCTGATGCCTTAACCACTAAACCTTTAATTCCCCCCTGAAGCATTTCAACAACGGATCGATACTCCCACTTCTGCTTAAGAGA